CTTATTAGATCACTTTATTCCAGTAGAGGCACAGTGATCATCTCTCTTAGCAAATACGAGCACTTATTTGTTAGAACATGTTGAGTTCTGCAGCATTTGCAAATACAGCTCAAAGAAACTTTGAAGAAGTTGTGTTTGTTAGATAATTTCAAGTAGGGTATTTTTAAGTACCTTTCCAGGCATGTTGGCACCTGGCTTAGGGAAGGGACAGGAAAAGAGAACAGCTGATAACAGGGCTTGAGTTGGTGCTCCATGATCCTTCAGCAAATGCTCTGAGCAATAAAGTCTGAGGAAATGCTGAAAAATGTACTCATGTCAACCAGGCTTGAAGAAAACTCTTAAAATTCATACCGACACCGAATGTTTTGGCAGGAATCAGTGAGTACATATGATTCTTCTGTTAGTACTGCTGAAGATTATTAACCGCTTTCATAAATACTATCCAAAACATGTAAAGAGCCAGGAAAAATACTGGAAGGATTGTGCCCATTTGGCTCTACATGGTAGGTATCTGTGCAGATCAGTCTTTTGCAAAGTGCAGAAACTGCTTCATGTGTGGATTACCTGAACATTCCCACAACAGATACACTGTTTTTATTTCTTTGTGGCTTATTCTTGTAACCACTTTGTTTAAATCTCTGTTGCTATAAATGTGAGGTGGTACCAAAGCTACAGTATTTTGTTCAGTAATCATTAGTGCTTGGGTCAGCAAACTAGCGCATGTGTTAGCTGTTTCTTTTTGTCATTGCAATGGTCCTCAGAAGTAACAGCTATTTGTGTACATAAGAAGAAATAATCTAAATATTCAATGCATAATCTATTCTATTAATTGATTAAATAATCAATTGCATAATCTAAAATTCAAGTTATGCAATAGGACATGAATTTAAACCAACTAAATCAACACAATTCTTCAGAGACTGCTCTTGTGTCAGTAGAAAAGGATTTACTTTCAATGTGGCTTTTGTTGCTTTAGAAGCACTTCAAAGTAAGTTCCAAAAGCCTCTGTAATTCTGGAACAGTAGTCTGGACATGAGACTTACAACAGATCTAACTGCTGTGATTTAATCACAGGAATACCAGAGGCAAGTTTTGGGTGACACGTCTGTGCAAGATCCACTGAAAGTCACTGAATGCTTCTCAAATTTCTATATATTTTTTTCCCCATTTCAGACTAGAAAACCATCAGAGCATGTAGCTAAATAACATTTATTTTCTGACATTTAAGGGCATCATAATGGAATGCAAGCATTAAACTTTGTGATGACATCATCTGCCTGTAAGAGCATATTAATGAAATCACAGCATTGACAAACAGTGTATGCATACTGTACACTTCACTTACATCACTCAAATTTCTTACCCGAAAATAAAAGGAACTATAATGATTTCTCATTTCACTGCTATAGTGCAAGACTTCCTGTCACAGTACATTCCATTTCTACTTTGAATTAAAAAAATATGTAACTGCCAAGTACACATCAGCCGTTCAACAAAGTATTTATGTTTGTTACACACGGTCAACTAAAGCAAACACAGGACAGGAAGGAAATGGAAAATAAAAGGCCTTACCCTCCTGAAATAAAGAAGAATTACCCATGGCAAAGAGATGTGAATAGGAAAAGCTGGATGAAATATGTGTGGAAAGTAAAGTAAAGGCATCACTGAAAACAGGGAGAAAGAAAACAAAAGAAGTGAGGAGGAATAGGGAATGGCTCCTCTTAAATATTACATTCTGAGGGCTAGTTTTCCAGTGGCTTTTGGTAAGGAACGCAGAAAGAAGCAAAGGCATGAACAACAGTAGTAATAGCTGCAATTATGTTTACAATCAGCAGCGACATTGCTAAACAGGTCTTGCCTTTGTCAATACAGTTTGCAAAATTGTAGTCAAGGCTGTATTATCATCAAAAAAATTCAAATGTCAAGTCAGAATTGAGCAAAACATGCTAGTGAAATCAAGCCATGCACTAGCATCTGCATAAAAATAACCTCTCATAAATGCAACTGACAGAATGTTATGTGCAGTATTACACATCACGTTAGCCTTGCTCAAGCAACTGTGGCCTTCTCAAGTAAAGTTGAGTGAGAATGTATCTAAATGTGATTTAGATCACCGACAGCAGAACTTCTAGGGATTTGATATTTCTTAGAAAACAGTAAGGTAACTTTCCCAAAGCAGGCAGTGTTTGCCACTGATCTGGAATGGGGGATGTAGGCAAGTTTTGAACGTACATTCTTCAGTTCCCCTCTGCATATTGTTTCTCAGCTGCTGGTTATATTATCATCTTTGTTGTTGCTCTTCACTTACTGGATTTTGAGAGATGACATATTGGCAGGACACCACATGTTCTCACCCTTCCTCCTTTAGGAGGGCTTTTAAGCAGCTGTAGGACGTAAGTGTTGAGAAAGTGACAGCCAATGCCCAACAACCTCACTGTGACAAAGAAGCCAGGAAAGCTGTTTTTATCTGCAGACCATGACTCACCCTTAATATCAAGCATAAGCATGATACAGGATGAGGCAACTTGCAGCTAAACACTGCTTTCATCCATTTTCTCTACGAGAGCTGAAGGCATCCTGGAATTGTATCTGTGTTCATGAAGATATAGGCAGTATCCCTGTCACCAGAATGGGCATATATCTGAGTTACCGTGAAGGCCATTTAACTTCAGTCTTCTGCAAAGGCTGCAGCTAAGTCTGACCAGGTCTGTCACGTAGGTCCCCTCTAATTAATTGTGTGAAACTGGATTAATGAAAAGACATACAACCATTAGATTTAACCAGATCCAATTTGACTGGAAGGATGAACCCGAGAGAAACAGGCTGCCTTTCCCACAAAGTGAGTGCGTGGGGACTGGGCAACCAGTAATACATACAACAGCCAGCTATAACCTGGACTCACAATGCCTTCTCCACTGCTGCTTAGGAAAATATTGGACACCATATACAGTCATCTGTTGTTTTTACTCACTACTCGTTTAGCCAAAAGACTGCACCAACCCTCTGTTTTCTTGTAAATAAATTAAAGATCTAGCATATTTATCATAAATCTTTGCAATTACAGTGGCCTGCAGACTGTCCTTTCCTCAAAGTAAAAGATGTTAACACACTGTAAATTGTTTTGGCTTATCGAGTTTTAATTTATCGTCCTATCCTCTCTTAAAAGGTTATTTCTTCAGCAATATTTTAACAGGAGCCATCAAAAACCTGCTGAAAATTCATATGAGTTATGACCTTCAGGTCAACTTCTATTCCAGAATCATCACTTTTTTTCTTTTTCTCCTTTAATAAGTTGTCTAACAGGCTAGGATGACATGACTTGCCCTTGCAAATGCCACTCGGGTTTGACCCCTATCGAGTTATACCTATCTAAGTATTCACACTATTCTATCCTTGGGCTCAATAGGTTTCCCCTGTAAGTGGTAACAGGAGGTCACAAGCTGAGCCCTTTGCAAAATGTTGTATATGTGGTTTGGTTTATGGACTCCTATTGGCTCCTACTCTCCACTGAAAAACAAACAACAACTTAGTTCCTGAAATGAACAAAAACCATAACAAATGACATTTTCCACCTACTCTTTTATAGGTTGTTCAAAACCATACAGTAAAACAAAGCACTCCATGCTTTTATCCTGATATCAGTTTCAAAGAAACTCGCACAAGAATTATAAGAGTTTATTTTCATCACACAGTTATTTGCTATTTGCTATCAATCAGCTCTCTCTTTCAAGAACGCAAAGGCTTGCTGGCTTTGAAGCAAATTTATAAACAGAGCTAGTTTATAAATGGCAGAACGTGACTGCATTTCCACACTGTTCTTTCATATTTATATTTATAATTAAAAATATTAATGCAATTTATCTCAAGCTTCTATCTTTCCATGTTTATTACAAAGAAAAACCCAACAGTACACACTACTTGGTTCTATGGAATAATGTTACTATCATAAACCAGGGAGCAACAGCAGAAGGTTAAGAAAAAGCAGACATATGGATGTTGGAATGCTCATAAATATGAAATTAATTTAGCATTTTATTTTTACATTTCAAGTAAAAGTCACAACTTTGAGCTACGCTTGCAAGTATGAAGAGAAGGCAGGTTTGGCAGTTAAAAAGTTCCTATTTTATGAAATGGTCACTAATAAAGCAGTTTGTGCATAAACCTCCACATCGAAAGAACATTTAGTGCTGCCAGTGAAAGGTAGCAATGCTTATGCATTCAAGGTACCCTGCTTCTGCCTTTTACAGGATGGGTTTTCTCACAGCACAGCTGTGACTGCGCAGAGCGACAGCAGCAGCTGTCACTGTTGGATTTCTCAGTGGAGGTGAAGATGGCTGTCATGGGCTTTGCTTACAGCCCTGGGACAGGAGGAGAGCACCTTGCTTCGGGGTGCCACTTACTGCAGCACTCTTCTCTGCAAACATCTCCTGCACAGAAACTTCAGAAAGAAGGAGGGCGAGAGAAGATGGAAAAATAGCCTATCTTTACTCCTTTCAAGGTGATTTCTTGATTTAACTGTTTGTGTGGTAACTGTTTTAAACAGAAATTTAGACTTCTCTTTATCAGCGTTTTCAGTAGAATTGATTCAGATCGGCATGAATTTGATCTCTATTCCTTTGTACTAGAAAATGCAAAGATTACATTAAAAGCATCATTTTGCAGCATTAAAATCATGGCAAAACTAACATTACATCTGTTAAACAAATATGACATCGTTGGCCTTTTCACTTGTTTCACTTTTAAACAAAAACAGCAGTTCTACTCAAAACAGCTCACTGTTTCATGTTTCTATTTGTGTTCTTCAACAGAAAAAAAACCCAAACAAAACCTTTTAAAGTACATCAGAAATGATTCCACAATTCTGCAACCAAAAATTGACATAAATCGCTTACATTCATTGCCAAATTCTCAGTCTGCTTTTTGGATCATAACAAAGTCTCTGAAAAGCAGACTTGCACCATAAATTTCTTAGGTAAACTATAAAAAGCTCTATAACTTACCGATGTCATTGCTTCTTTCAGAGGAGTCTTTCTCCAGTGCACTGGACACCAAACTCCCCACTAATTCCACTTTTGGACTATCACTCCTACATTTGGATCAAGAAGAGGACAGATTTTATTGGAGTTTGTGCATAGGTTACAGTAAATTGATAGCTAACCTGCAATTACTACCGAGAGAGGGAAATATTCTTCCCTTGTAGCAGCAGAGTAGCAGCAATGTGTCAGAGAGAGCAATCTCCAGTAAGCAAACATACCGTATGGATTAACCTTATCTCATTTCTCCTTAACACCTGTCAAAAAAGCCTATTTTAGACATTGCAGTGTCTAAATAATTCTCCAAATGTTCACAGCATCTCAACGTGAAGGAAATTTAAGGGCAAAGGGACAGCCTTCAATATCTTATTTGTAACTGTTTGTAATTAATTAGCTGGAGTAAATGACAGCGATGGGCTATCCAGAGCACTGCAGACAGGGTGAACCTTCGCAAAGTGTTATGTGTCCTGACAGCTCTTACTCATAAATGCAGCTTCTCCAACAAAAGGAGACTGTCATTTATTTTTGCACATTACTTACGAGACTAGACTATGAAAATGGTTTTTCACAGATTCAATGAAACAAGATCACCTACTGTGCCTGAAAACGTCTTTGGAATAGACAAGCGTTGAGAGATGTGATACCTTATGGATATGAACCTTATAGAAATTCTGAAATCAAATGGGAGATCAAACATAAGCAACAAGGTTATTCTTTCTACTCCCCTCACAGCTACTAAGTCTACAAAAATAATCTGACTATTGAAACAATTAAGAAAAAAAAGGCCAGTAGTAGGCGAGCAGCACAGCATTGCACAGGTCTCACGGACAAGTCCCTGAGGCATTTTCCATGATAACAGTGGTTCTGTTAATGCAGTAAATTGTATTTAACATTATTAAAATGTCACAAGTATCTCATTTTTTCTCCACAATAACTATTCCCAGCATAGCAGTGAAACGATTAAGATGAATGTAATGTACCGGAATTATGGGTAAAAATACTGACCATCCCTGGAACAACCCAGGCAGACGTGCATTCATATAAACACCAATTGAAAGTAAAATACAGGTGAACTCCTAATAGTCTGATGGCCTAATAGTCAGAAGGCCTGAACCTCCACTTGTGACGGCAGCACATGAGTGAAACAGAAGGCATCTAGAAACCTTATTTTAGAATCCAGGAAGGCAGTGGTAGATAAAGAGTCTCAACATTTGTCACAGATTAAGTGAATCTAATTAAACAAAATAGATGGTACAGACAGTTTATGACCTGAAAAAAACCCCACCCTTGTTCGACACAACTATCAATTTGGCAGGTTGTCTGCAACAGGGAGGAAGCAATACACTCCTGGAATCACAAATTAATTGCTGAGATGATAAATAACATGATCCACCTGCTCAATTATTTTTCCTATCTTTTGGTTTTTCACCTATCAAAAAATGCATATGTATATATAAATATGTAAGAAACAACATAATTTCTTGGCTCACACAACAATGAGCATCTGACTGCCTGTTCTGTTTTGCACACATGTATTTCCCAGCCAATTGAGAGCAACATGTGAGTCAGAAGCACTTTAGGAAATGGACGACCACTCTTTTGGAGTAGATTCTTAATATGTTGTGACTCAGGGCTGAAAATCACAGCATTTACCATTTGAATACTGATGATGGCAAGATACATGACATCATCAAAAAAAACCCAACCCAAATCCACTCCACTGACAAAAAAAATCAACAGGTTTATTATGCTAATCTGCACCCATATGAATACAAAAGCCATTTCTTTTGGGACACAGCATCTCCCTCTCTCTGCTCCTGCCCATGTAGACAGGCTGTCAGCTTGATGAGACAGCTGATGAGCCTTGAAAGAAAGCCCACGCTAATAGAAGTCCCCTTGCAAAGTGATTAATTGCCATCTGGAGCAACTCCCTGACCCATATGGCTGAATGTCTGCACAAACGCTGGTGCTAACATAAGGGAGGTACAAGAATGCGCTGCCAGGAAAAGGAACCTGCCCCTTTCAGCAGCAGAGACTCAAGATTGGTTTAGACTAGTAGTGAAAATGCACTTGGTGTAGGTCTTCAGGGCTTGCCTTCTCAGGAGAACTGACTGATTCATCACTAAACGGTGTAATCGCATGTACACCTAAATAAGCTGTGAAGCCTTTGCAGCAAATTGACAGCTATGCTCTGTCTCACATGGTTTTTGTCTCTCTATTGCCCTTGAAGTCCTAATCTGCCTTGAAGGAAGGAAAACAACGTTTAAAAGAAAAAACAATTATTACCACAAAAACCCAGTGAGATGCATGAGACTGAAGGCACTTGGAACAGAAAAAACACTCTTCTGCTAACCTGCAGCAATGGTAATCTCATGGGAATCATTTTATAAATATACAGCACCTCTCCCCACTAGGTTCAGCAAAAATTCTGCTGGTTCTATTTTTATTCTAATCACCTTAGGTCTTTCAGATTCTGGAAACAGATACCAGAGTGCCATAAAACATTTACTGTCTTATTAAACTGAATTGACTTAACATGCCTTTATTAAAATGCCTTTCATCTGGAGTTTCGCATTTCTTTTTTGTTCTGTCAACTTTCTGTCCTCATTCTGCAAGACACCCTTGTCAGTTAAAGATTACTAGGCAGAACAGCTGTATGAGATACATTCATTAATTTGAATTAGCTGATAAAGCAATTCATAGTGAAAACACTAGCACTATGACCATCGGAATAGCATCATCATCACTCTAAAAATCATTTTTCTTCTACTGTTTTAATCTAACTACCTTAAAAAGCAGAACTCTTTCAAATATAAAACTTTAAACATTTTTTAAATAAAGAGAATGAAGTATTTTTCTCTATGCTAGAAATAGCAGTGTTTGGATAATTAACAAAACTGGATTGCAGTTCAGATCTGCTGTTTCACTTGGTTAACCAGAAATCTGAAATATCTTTAAAAGTACACAGTTTGTTTACTAACAATTTTGTAGTTAGAAAATGGGAAAACAGAAGAGAAATAAATCACCCACCCACAACTCTAGCTAAAATAATGCTTAAAATCTTCCATGAAAAAGACAGAGCAAAATAATAACTACCCTGTTAATTATCTAGCCAGTGACAAGTATGGTAGAATATGTACTGGTACTGGTCTTGCCAGTAACATATCACAGCTGAATGTAAAGGCCATAGCAAGCACTTGCTTTTTCAAGCATGGTCAAGAAGCCAGCAGGTCTGGGCCACACTGTGGAAAACCTGGGCAAGCATGTCCAGAGCCAAGGAGTCCAACAGAAGCTGTGGTAGCAGTACATGGCTAGTAGTTTATGTTCTCAGAGACACACAGCAAGGCACTTCAATGAGATGAAAGCAGCAGCACAAGGCAGGCATCAACTCTTTATTTTATGTGTCTCAGATTTCATGTTGAGAGCACATGTTTAATGAAGCCTATGTGGAAGAATGAAGGGAATTGATGCCTAGGATTTTTATTTTATTCCACTCTACCCTCCACTCCATTTTGGTAATGTCAATGTTCCACTAATTCCACTAGTTCCATGGCAGCAAATTATTCTAACAGTTCAATAGTAAAATTATTTCTGTGTCTACAGTACTATTTCTGCAAGGCATGTAGTTAGCCAAATTTATAAAATTGCTTTTTTTCTGGTCTTCACCTATTTCTACCTACTTTGCATAAAGAAGGTCTGCAGTGCACAGTCAAGAATCTAATGACTATCAAGTAGCCATGTAGACACAATTAGGATTATAGGTGGGGCCTTTAAGTTCCACCTCAGCTTCTCCCAGTGTGAGCAGAGATGTGCTCACAAGCCTAGACTTCCAGTGCTCCTTAAAGGCTGTAACCATCTCTGATAAGGAGCATCATGTAACTACAGAATAACAACCACCATCAGAGATTAAATCACTTGACAGAAGAATTCTGCAGTAGCATCAACTTAAAGGACATTCTGAGAAGACACATGTAGCATGCAAAAAATTGATCTACAATGATCAAGGGAAACAGACTGAAACCAAGCTGGCAGTGCTTGACAAGTACACTGTCTAACACCGTTCCTCACTCAGTACAATCCAAGCTTTGGCAATGATTTAATGCTCTGGCTAAGATGGAATAATTTAGGCAGACTAAGTAAAACAACAGCAGCACAACACACTGATGTAGATGTTTCTCACATATTCTGCAGTGGAAACCATGACATTTCTCTTTCACTACATTCACCGGTGGAGATGAACTAGTAATGACTGGGCTAAAACTGCTGTTCTTTAGGAGATGGATACGATGCAGCCAGATAATTAGAAAGATTATTTATTAGCATTATTTTTCTTTGCAAACTGTGGCATTAGCTGCAAAATCTAAATTCTATACAGGTGATTTTTCCTTTAATTCCAAAAGCGCTGGACAGAGGAAGAACAATACCTTGCATGAGTCGCAGGCACAACTGGTCTTTCCGGCCTTCTTGGAGGCAAGGTACCAGGTCTGTTCACAGGGTTTGCTTTGGGTGGCCGTGGTTTCTTCGGAGGTATAGCAGGAACTGAAGGCTTCTGCAAGTCTAACTGTTTTTGCTCTCTCTCTGATCTTTCTTTAAATCAATTATTTCCAGAGAAAAAAAAACACAGGCTATTAAGTGGAATTTATTTGCACAACACATCTATAATTGAACAGTAACAATTCAAGTGTAGACACATCATATACAAGGAATAATCCTATTTCCTTTCCATTTCTGTCCTAAATCATTCTCTACTTAAAATGTTTGCCATAAACCAGTCTGCAGTGCCTGAATGTTCTGAACATAATACCTCATGGCTGAAATTTGTACGCAGTATCTGAATGTGAATGGCATCTTTATTTTAGTAACTCATTGGTTTCAGAGCGTATGTGAAAAATAAGAGCAACAAGAAATTACATATCACGTGCAACAATTTCCCCTGAGTGCAACTCATATTAAATGCTTATAAAACCAATATTAAGTTAGAAGGTTAGAAAGATAATAATTCTGGATTTTCTATTGAACAAAGAAGAGAAATAGGATTTCTGAGAGGGAAAAAAAATAATGTTCCATTTAACCACAGTTAAATAAAAAAACAAGCATTAAAATTCAGACATGTTGGGCAGGATGTAAAACCGCTCTGAAAAATCAGATGTTTTATTTAGACTTTTAAGCAGACATATTCTGACTTTTTCAGCTTCCCAGTTCAAACGTAGATCACATGCAGCACAGATTATCAGGAGGTGCCACAGCACTAAGACTCAATGCCAAACATACAAAGTATGTCAAACATATTACACACTAATAACTGTTCAAAATAATATGCTCTAAGTTCACAATGCAAAACAAACACAGAAGAAACTGAACGTATTTGCCAGCATAGGAAATCTGATTCCTCTTGAGGATAAGGCAAAACTTTCACTCCCAGTATCCTACTATGTCAACACCCTATTTCCCTTGACAACAGTGTCAATAATGTGCTGTAAATATTAAGTCTTTGTATACACCTGAGAGGTATTAAGAATATAAAAGTGTGTTTCTTGGTGGGCTCTATGTGTCAGTCTGAGGGGATCATAAATCAACAGAAACTTCTCTTTTCTGGAAATGTTAGTAGAAATACTGAAATAAAGTCTTAGCATAATGCAATAGTGTGTGTTTATCTGATAAACAAACAGCATTTGGACACCCAAGGATCAATTTATTGCTGTGCTTTTTAAGTGATCCAAACGCTATCCACCATAGGAATGAATGGTGCAGAGATATACAGTGGACTACTATGTAATCTTATGGAGACATAAAAGTATGTGGTATCTCCAGTGTCCAATACGGATTCAGATTTGATTTGGAACAGTTCAGTATGTGATTGTTATTCACAGGCACAAATCCTTTTTTCAGCACACTTTTTGTTGACACAGTTATTGGGTCCTCTGTAACAGCGAAGCTTTATGATTATACTGTGTAATTTTTACACATTTATTCCTATGACTATTTATATTGTGTAGGTGTCTAAGGTACTAAACTATGTATTAGAGATGGGCTAAGCAGTGCATCAGTGTTCAGTGCAAAGGAAGTTTCCCATGCTCGCTCATATTTTCAAACGAAACAATTCCCATCACTCCCCGGCATTTCAGAAATGTAGGTATGATTCCCACTGCCTCTTCAACACTTAGAAAAGATACAGATATTTATGCCCTGGGACAGCAACATATTCAAACCTCCACCATTTTTTTGACATTTGGCTTTGTTAATCCAAAATGGAAAACAAAGGGATTTTCTCCTAAGATAACCACAAGAAATAATGCATATAACCAGAAGTAAAGCTATGCAGACAGAAGTGCTAGAATATCTGTCAGACTGCTAAGAATATTTGTACAGAAACAGCTCTTGGTGCAAAGTCTGAATGTTCTGGCACTAAATTATAACTGCATGTTATATAGTTAGTCATGCTCATGCATGAGCCTGACTGCAAATTCAAACACTTTGAAGAAACCCATAATTAAACCTGTCTGTACAATCAAACAGTCCACTTAAACACACGAAATGAGATCATCTTCAATTAGACGATCAATATAACTATTTTCCCAAACTACTCAGAACACACCATGAACTTACACTGAAACTATAAAAGGTTTCGTTCACTTGTCACTGCTCTGTGTGGTACTATACCTCATGTCTTGCAGAGTTCTAAACCTGGCTTTGAAGGCTTTTATTTTACTTCTTCATAGGCTTGCCTATGACATCTGTGGCTCTGATAATGGAATGATTCATAAGCGTTAATGAGAATATCTTTGCAACTCCTCTCTGGGATGCATAAAAGCAGGGTTGATAGTTTTCAACTAGAGAACCAATGCATACAAAAGTTAAGAAAAAATACGCACTGATATGAGGTATCATGCTTGATTGAGGACCTGGGTTTTACTGAGCATGTAGCTTTAGAAAGTATTTTTTGTATTGAGAGCATATCTCCCTTGGACTTCAGCTGAGGTTGCAATCACTTAACACCTTTGGATTGGTGCAACTGAAAACTCTGAATTTAGCTCAGAAATACCAGTGCGATCCTTTCCAAAATGCATATTATCAGAGATCTATCAGGGTGGAAATAAACAAACTAACAATATAGTTCATGAAAACTGTGTATTGTGGGGCTAGGAAACGAGGGTGTGCATCAGCCTCATTAGCCCTGTCTGTCTGAGGAGGGTAAGCAGCAGAGCACATTTCATACCTTTTTCTTCTGTTCGATTAGGAAGACATTCTGGTCTTTCAGGAGGCACCTTTTTCACTTCTTGTTTTCGATCTGTGGTACCTGTCAAAGAATGGAGAATTCAGAATTCTGACCAAGCCAACAAGCCACCACATAAGGCCACACAAGATACAATTTTGCAATTTCTAAGGCCTTTTACAATCTCCTACTTCAGACATTTCTTGCTAAAACTGAACATAAATCTAATTTCATATATTTGCTTACACATACAGGACACAATTACAGATTTTTAAATGTGGACAAATATTTTAACAGTCTTTTAACTTTGTAAATATACTGAAGCAAAGAGCAATTCAACAGTGAGGAAAATCACTAAGAAATCACTAAACCAATTCACTGGGCATTTCTGCCAAGAAAATGCTTAATACGCATATAAAGCTTTATTTTACATTAAGTTAAAAAAAAGCCTGTTCTACTGTACCTCCAACACTAGTTGTTCACTTCCACACATTAGAAGAATGGGAATACAGTACCAACAGTATTCTGCATAACTATTTTATGTGACAGCTTTTGGCCTAGAGGTGTAAGCCTCTGCCTTTTTCTGCCTCTGTGTTAGAGACCCTGACACACTGCCTTCTGTTGCTATAAGGAGCATGAGAACTAGTGGCAGCAACAACGGGAAGACTTTGCAAAAATTTCCTGGCACACACAAGATGCAATCTTCCAGTCCCCATATTATAAGTAATATTTTATTGGATATTGGCTCCACTGCGTTGGCTAACCACTAGGTGCTAATACCATTTCAACTTAGCGGTGTTGAAAACCGCTTTAGGTAACACTCTTAGTATTTCAATAAAAATAGCAGTAACGACATCCAAGAAAAGTAGAGGAGGCAGGGCAGGGAACACAAGGCGTGTTTTTTTTTGCCTCAGTCTGTTCAGTTCTACGTAGTTCTCAAGTAAATTGACATTTTCTGAATGTACGGTCACAATTCTCTGCTGCAGCTGGTTCCTAGAAACCAGTACTCATCAGTGCAAATTGCAATCAGTGGTGATTATAGGCCATTGTTTCTTTATGTAACTGCACTGTTGGATGAGCAATACTTGTACAACCTATCACATCAAGAAACCAAAATAACACTGATGTGCCATAAAACTACATCGCTCCTGAGAGGAAGAACTCTTGACAGAAACCAACTCAAGCATTTCTAAACCAAGTGCTAAGCATTGTTATGAGCTAAGCACGAGTCAACTTCTTGATAATCTTGTACACAGTAGTGGGTTCAAGGAAAAAAATGTCAGAAGCCCAAAGTTATTAATTACAGTAAGATTAATGTTCATCATTAATGCACAGAAGGACATTCTCTAGTAGTATCTAAAATAATGGCTATACAAGCACTTATGGGCTCTCAGGCTCAGGTGTGCTCCCTGCTTGGGTTGCGACCCTGCTTTAATCAGCTCCCAGGCTCCATGACCCTGACTAAGCTGCCGAGAGATGGTGATGTAGAGGAAATTCTAGAAAGCTCCACACAAGTTCCCAGGGACACCCTTCAGTTTAGGTACAAGTTCCTTTACACTTGTACTAGAAAGACCAATTCTATTTCTCTGCAATAGTTTTATCCTCTGCATCAGAATATATTTGTATTTACTTATTTAGATCGCAACTGACAGTTCAGTCAAATATTATGGCTGGTTACCATGCAGAAACCCTAGTGGAAATTATCAACAGGAAAGCCTGATGTGAGGATGTGGTAAAACACTATCATCTTGGTAAAGTGATTATCTGATAAAGTGATAGCAGAGGATGATTTCCGTCTCTCAATACATGTCAGAAGAACGCCATGTGCATAATCTGTCAGGACTAGCCAAAGGTGGGCTATGAGAACAAACAACAGCAGCAGCCTTGGTTACTCTCTCCATTTTTATTTCTGAAAAGAGGCACATTATGGTAGCGTGGCTAATGTGTCAGATGTCAGCGTGTAAAAGTAGGTTCAAATAAGTATTTAAATACTCAAATCAATATCAAACTTTGTATTAAGTAAAATATTTAATTTTAAGTTAAATATTTAAATAAGTTTGTATGTGTACAATGAATTTAAAGGAATACCCCCTAATTTTACATCAGAAACATGAGACAAGAGTAAAAATTGAAATAAATATAACTATTTACAGAGCTTTTCAGAAACAGGCATCAGGCTGTAACTTTTGTTTCTCACACATCTTCAGTATGCAGCCACCACTAGATGGCAAAGTTACACTGCTCTCCCTCAACACAATCAGATCAATGATCTTGAAACCAAATCTGTTTTTCGGTGTCTCCAGACCATGTTTGCAACAAACCACCGTTGCCAATACGCAAACCAAATATTTATTGTTGTGATTCTCTGGTCAAAGAACCACTTGACAAAATTAAATCATTTAAATTATAACCTATAGGTTCTCAGCAAATTACACTCTGGTGTAACTTGTTTATTCTATTAATGGATCAAAGCTGGAGGAGAAGGAAATGTACTTTTTAAAGCACTGAGAGTGGGAACAGACCACCGTGACAGCAAAAAAGATCCATTGTGTTTGTTTTGTTTTTTCTAACATGCACCAACAGTGAGGAAAGTGGTGGAGCCACTGCAGAACTCTAAGGCACTGGGGTTAAGGGATTAGGGAATTCCAGCCATAGTTGCGCTTCCACCACAACTGCAACACCAATGAAAACTCCGAGAGCGCCTCATGCCTCGTGATTTGTGATTTAACATGAAGGGAATAGGAATGCAGTTTCTGAGGCCAGAGTTGTCGAATGTGTAGATATTTCAACTGTTTCTGAGCTCCACAGAAAAAAAAATCATGCAGAGTTAAGAAATCGTGCAGATTTTTGTATTGAGAGGTTATTTTTAAACCACAAATAAAAGTGGTTTCAACTCTCAATATTTAGATACAATTCAGCCTATCATATCTCAAAAACAGCTTTACTAACACTCACACATGTGGAAAACATAATCAGCACCTTCATACATTTGTAACACTATTATCTACATGGACAGATTCAAGATAATTCCTTTCACCTTTCTGTTTATCAAGTATTATAAAACAAGAATCTAACTATAGCATAGAACCTGGAGACAGACAGCTGGCTCCAGTACTGATGCAGATCTGCAGTACCTAGACTGCAACTTTGATGGGATCACTGAATTACAGCCAGGTTCTCTAACACTGTCTTACGTATGGAAAAGATCTCCTTAGAATAGACCAGGTCTATAGGTAAAAGGGAAGATGGTTTCCTACTGCATGCAGTATTAGGCTCCAACACTTTTTGCCCCTACTGCAGACAAGCACACTATCAACTCCAGTCAGAATAGAACAGCATTTCTAATAACTAAAGTATCATGCTTGCTAACAATTAACAAGGGACAAAATACATTATTTTTAAATGGTGCAGATGGCTGCCTGCAACACATTTAAAAAGCATATCACAGTCTTTTGAGGTTACCTCATCCTTTTGCAATCTGATTCTGATTATTAGTTGTCTGTACACTTCCCGCATATCAATTTGGATACAGATGAATTCTTTCTAAATTTGAATACATTTACTTAGATTGAGATGTCCTCACTGGCATGAGCTGCACAGTATCAGCTATAACTTACCTAATCCTTGTTTGACGACAGGAGCTGATGGAGGTGGTGGTTTCTTCGGTCTCTAAAATTTAGTAACAGAAGAAGTCACTTCAAAATGCCTGTGAATCTCATTCACTCAAAGGCTGGATATAATCATACACTGCTTAGCATTAAGACTCACAAATACAGAGAATACAGATTTTCCCTGAAATGACTTCATAGAATGAACTTTAAGACAGAAAATATCCATACAAATGAAATGGCATCTTTCTACTTTGGCAGCTGAAATGTCCTGCTGAAGGGAAAAAACAGTTGTTTAGGTTCCAGGTCAGATAAAAGCATGACCTTTGGTTTACTGAAGAAACCTATTCCCGAGCTCACTACCTGAACCACCATCTGCATTCACTTTTTCTCTACGCTCAGTTTCTTTACCCAGTTGATTTATTCTCTCCCCTCTCACTCTGCGCTCCTGCTCTGTTGTTTTGTTTTCTTCTTGTCCAACCAGTCCCAGTTTCCTCTCTGGGGTTTCAATTGTAGTCTGTTTCCACCACCTTCTTGGTTATCTTATCTAGCCACAGAGTCCTGCAATTCCTCCTTGCTTCTCCATGTTTCCTGAGCAGTTTCAGTGCTCCTTCCCACTATCTCCTTCTCTGATGTTAGCCTGCCTTTTCACTTCCCTCATCGGCTTCCAGTTGAAGCAACTTTGTTTAATGAGCCATTTGTTCTGCTCTGCGGTGTATCAAAATGATTGTTTTAGTTTCAATTGGGAGTGAACTTTGCAGTGAAACTCTCCCTTGCCCATCTCCTCTGACTGTACTCTGGTTCTCCTCAGAGAAAAGTTTCAGGGAACATGATGTAGAGTCTTTTCAGTAAGAACTACCCAAAAGAAATGCTAAAGGTGATCAACTCACGTATTCCAACCATTGATGTTTGGACGGTCAATGGGACCAGACCTGAACTAGTCCGGAAAAAAACAGCAAAGTTGTGTTGAATCCTCAGCACCAGCCACTTCTCCTCACCATCATTATGAGCTGGCCCTCCCATCGGTGGAGGCTGGGACTGGGCAGCGAGCACTGGGAGAAATGGCCACGTGGGGAAAGCAATGGAAGGGTAAACTGGGAATGTGGAGATGGTGAAAGATCCCAGGCTTTTGTTCAACAAGCAGAACTACTGCAACTCATATTGTTTCAGACTGCGGGATGGAATCCAAGGTTTCTGGATCATATCAGAAAATACCTGGCAAAACCACTGGAAAAGCATCCGTTTCCTTCCATTTTAACACTGATTCAAGCAAAGAAAGGCAGTCTATAGTTCTAACAGACACACAGACTGATCTGAGCCATTTCTAAAATCAGCAAAATTTAATTCCCCACTTTTAAAGAAAATCTAGCTGCAATTTCTAAGTGCCTGAATATTTAATTTATTCCATAAATTACAGTTACCATAATCTAAAGATTAAAAATACTTAAAGATATACAATGTATTGGTTTAGAAAGACTGAATAAATTTAACAACCAAAAAGAATGGATAAGAATGAAGAGTTTCTTCTTCTAGAATACAATTTGAATGCTCGCTATGTCTTAAGGTTTATAATTTCTGCCTCTTTTGGAAATCGCTTTTTTATTACTAGGCCTGGAGCCAGGATATACACTCTGATATTGCATATTAAACTCCAGCAGTTTTTGTTGCTCTTCTACGTTCATTTTCAATAATTATCGTGTTAGCTTCTGTGAGTTGTTTAATAGTTCTTTATTAAGCTTTCCAAGCTATTTAATTATTGCCTCTGGCATCCAATTTTATTGCCAAAGTTTGAAGCTGAGTGTCAGTAAGTCTTAGTTTTATCACAGAAGGCTTATATTGTCACTGTGAAATACTCATCAAAAGTCTAAGTGCAAGCTCATAATATCACACTGGTGACTGAAAGATTCCTAAAAATGGAATGGACTTTTGAGGGAAGTAATCCATGACTTTATTCCAGGGAGCTGCAAGATTTCTCATTACTGTTTGGCAAATAACAGCCATCTCCTTCAAATAACTAGAAGCTGAAAAAGCTTTTCTGCAGACTTCATACTTCTTTTTAATAATTCTGAGAGAGTAATGTAACATGTCTTGGAGATACCAAAAGCTCATTACAATCTTTCAAACCCCACAGCTAAAGTTTCAACCTCTTCATTCTTGAAGAGTGCATGACTGCTGGCAAAACAGGATGCTCTGCCTCATAAACAAAAGAGAAAAGTTAATAATTCTGATCATCACTGCATCACTTGACTTGGCAAATCACACTGGGATCACCAGTTTCTCTCAAACTCAGGACATAGGGCAGAGTGTTGTCAGGACAACGTAGTGGAGACTGACAGACTGGACAGGTCAATCATACACATGCTCTTCACTGATGTTTTGTAACTCAGAAATTTGTTTCCTTCCTTAGTTTTTTCTTTTATTTCTTACTAACTGACAAGTAAAACTGCCTAAATCATCTATCTAAAACAAAATTTCAGCTCTAGTTTCATTCTGCATTCTACAGTGAAACTGCAAGAACATAATGCTTACCTCTTTTTCAAAATCGGAAGGAAGAAGCTTGACAAAGTTATCTGGAAACACTCCCCGTTTGCCATTCAGTTCTCCTTCCCACCAACCCACATCAATACAGTCCTACAAAACAGTAAAATAACGTGAAAATCACAATGAATGTGCTTCTATGCTAAACAGATTCTTGTGCTGAAGTGCACTTTTGCATAATGCCCTGCCTTTTTGCTGGAACATAACAATTCACTGGAGTGCCAGGTTAGCAGGGTAATCTACCAGATAAAAACTTCCGTAATCGCCCTGCATGATATGATCATATGGAACAGCTAGGAAAGAAAATAAACTTGCTGTAAGAGCTCAAGAGCTTGTCTGTGTCTAAAGTAAAACACTATTTCAGCACTTGATCTGTTAAACCAGTAAGCATTTCGAACACGTATGATATTACTTCTGACTTCATTTTAAAGAAAGGCAATAACTTAATTAAGCATCAAACATCCCTAGAGGTAATAAAGCTCATCCATTTGCCACACTTTCACGGAAACCTTGACACACTAGAATTACTTCTGAAATTATTAAATTTGATCACAGTCCAATTAAGAAGGCATTAAACACCTGATCACTGTAGAGGGTCACCTTTTACCACAGCGTTTTTCAGCAACAATGCAGAGTGGGTAGCAAAACAATTTACAGCTAAACCTACTGCATCAGTAATTTTAAGTGATGAAAAACAAAATGAAGTAAAACTATCTTGGTAAAGAACAATAAGAGTACAAGCTACAACTACCGTAGAGAAGGCTAAAATTGCTCCTTGAGTGCTGGGCGGTAAGCTGCATTTGCTGAAGAGAGTACTTTTGGTTCAGTTTTTCCACACTCTTTGAAAGCTTCAGCTGAACCTAGTCAGCTGTTTTCCAAAACACAGTTACAGGAAACTCACCCATCTTCTTAGTCTTGAAAATATTTCAGCCAGTTTTAGCAATTGACTCATTACCAGGCTGGCCATCCTTTCCAGCCTCTTGAGCAGTAAATTTACATCTTATTGTGGCTCAGAGTCATGCAGTAAATACTGCACATCTGAAAATGGGAGAGAAAGGGAAATCTTGCAAACAGAGCACAGACTGGTCATAAGTCACCAGGGATCCTCCCATTCTACGAAAGCTGGATTTGCAGCTGGGATGCCACATCTGGCAATATCAAGCTTAAGCAACCACTGTGGTCCCTTCCACAACTTCAGATTTGGACATCTGCACCAGCCAGGTATATCCAGCTGCCCTGGTAGCAGAGCCACACAGAGTTGCTCAGAGTCCAATATGTTGGATGCCCCTTTGCTAACATTTCTAATGAAGCCTGGTGGAAATGCTCTTAGATTTAATAAAGAGTTCTTGCTTTTCAGAAATCCACCACTGTTTATAAGAAATCAGTAGAAATGTAGCAGCTCTGTTCTCTGAATACTCAAGGGTACTGATGTAGGTCTATCAGTCCCCTCTTGGAGCATGGTCACTGTTCCAGGTAAGCCTGTGGTGAGGACTTTCCATCACTTACTGCTGCAGAAATGGAGTGGGCCTTTCCCTGTTAAGACGTAATGTGGGCTGTGGAAAAAAGTATGATGAGGTGCAAATCTGGCTCATTACAAAACAATCACACTCTTGCTTTTCCAAAAAGTGAGAAAGAAGAAAAAAGCAGTGATTCTGGAACACTGGAACAAAACAATAAACAGAAACAGGAGTGTTGATATAAGAAAAGAAGGCAAGAAAAGGCAAGTAGTTAAGGAAAAGAGAGACGCATGCAGTAAGGAATTAGCTTTTTAGAGTGAAAAAAGCTAGAAAAAATGGACAGAAGCAGAAGAAATAGGCCAAATTCTAGAAGCTTCATGTATGCTATGAGGCAATATCCCTCCAGAAACAGCATTGACTCAAGATGTCCAGAATCTTTTGTGCTACTGTGGTGTAAGAACAGAACTGTAGAAACACAAGTAGAAGTCATGGCTTCACATTTTACCCACACAATTTGTTTGTGAAACCATATCTGTTGTGCAGTGCATATAAAAACTCTGGAGCTTAAAATGTCATTTGCTCATATCAGTCATGGTCGTAGCCAGATATAAAGGGTAACTGCATAATAAATATTAATTAAAAGACAGATATGAACTTTTTCAAATTGAGTAGTGAAATTAACACATACTTTTAAAAAAGTCTTTCTGATGTTCATTTCATCATCTGCCTAGGAAAAAATCATAGTGGTCCTTTGCAATGTAGGAAAGTTTTGATGGTAAATGCTAAAAAGCATGCCCACACTACAAGAGTGGAGAAGCAAAAACTAAGAGGAAATGATTAGCTCTTTGTGTAGAGACAGCAAACAGCAGTTTTAATAGATTAATTAAAAAAAATAAAAAATGAATGGTAAATAAAATATCTCATCCCTGTATTTCCATTTGGTAAAGCTACTGCAGGGATGTCAAAAGAACACAACTTAATCAGGTTTTCTCTAAGTTATAATCCCAGGATCATAGAAAATCCGTAGTTGGAACTTGGGATCATGTGCTGAATACATAATGCTTGATGACATTTGAGAAAAAAGAACATCAGCAGTAAAGAAGTGTAGAGCTTTTGTTTTCTCTTTTAAAATTATTTTTCTGTCTGGGTTTTTTATTTAGATTAATTAAATCACCTAATTCCCTGAGAATATGTGCTGGCTAAACATGCAAGTTAAATAGCATCATTTTTTGTATCACATTTGCTTAAGATACGTATCTTTTTTTCCATAACTCCCTTTTTCACTCTGATGTAATACATTACTGGTTTACAAATGCAGGCACTGAATAAACTTTCCATTCTGTTTCTGGTAGTTTTCCCTCATGCTTAATCTGTTCTTTTCTCCTGTATCCCCTCTGTTCTTTAGCAGGGTGTCTGTCACCAAGGACAGACCTTTTCCCTTTTCCCGACCTCCCTAGGAGTTCTTTAGGAGATATTTATCAGTTTGCTTATGTCTTTGTTGTGAACAAGGCTGATCCTCAACCTGCTCATGTTTTCACAGTATTTGCTGCATGAACGCAGCACTCCACAAGGCTGAAGATAATCAGCTAATCATGCACGGTACAGGCAGGCTCTGTGCAGGATCCTGCCCTGTCCTCAGACAGCACCCCTTGTTCCTGATGAGCAGGAGTCCTCCTGCTTGGCTCTACCACTTGGAACAGCTGAGCACACCATTTGCTTGGCTGTGCATCACATGGTATGTTCTATAATGCCCTCCACCAACTGTCACACCATCTCGAAATTGCCAAAACATTACTGACCCAATTTAGATTTTAAAAAATTGTAATAATTCAAGCTTCCAGAGATGAAAAGCTTGAGCTTCTACTGTCAGCACAGCTTAGTGCCAGCTGATTACTCAGCTGAATAATGCACATCACGTACATTCTTTTTAGGTCGGATGTCTCTTTATGCTCTTAGGAAACACAAACCTTACTTCCACGTCTTTGTTTTACTAGTACATATGCATTTTGTCTTTAAAGCTTAGTTGTTTTCATGAAGACAGGGCTTGCATTTCATGTTTGTTAATCCAGAACAGCTGCACATTTGCTTGTCTCTCCTCCCCTGCTTGTCACTCAGACTTACACAGCCAATCACCACACACCATTTTTGTACAGAGTAAATTGCTCAACAGTTTCTCTTTAATTTTCTCATTTACTGTATTTGCCAGAGGAGGCTGCTGTGTCAATGAGCAAATAGGACAGAAAAGAGATCTCAAGGATTAAAAGCTGCAGTTGAGATCAGGTGAATTATCTTGGCAGTGGCATCTTCCTCCTGCCCACAGCCACAGGTTTGCTACGCCACAGAAAACTCTGTAAGTCCACTTATGATGCTTACTGCAGGGACATCTTCATCACAGACAGACTCCAACACAAGGCCAGCTGAGCTGGAGCTGCACAAGCTACCTCAGAAAGTAACAACTGACACTACAGCTCTGCAGTGCAGCAAAGGCGGTGTGACCAGAACCACATGGCTGGTTGTCAAGATTGAGTAGAAGTGACTCCATTAGTTCTATATTCCTGTCACATGCACAATCCTACTCATGCTTCTCATGCTTTTCTTTTCTTTTCTTTTCTTTTCTTTTCTTTTCTTTTCTTTTCTTTTCTTTTCTTTTCTTTTCTTTTCTTTTCTTTTCTTTTCTTTTCTTTTTAAATATGGCTTTATGTGTCCAGTGTTGGCAAAATGGCTGTAATCTCAAAACTCAGACTTTACATAAAAGTTGTCAAGCTGTTAGTATCAATATTCCAAAATTTGTTAACAAAGTGGATCTCTCCTTTACTTCCATGTTATTCTACTGGACTTGTAACAACGCAGATAGACAAAAATCAGATGCTGTCTTGTCCCAGAAGTTGTATGAAATAAAGATTGCATTTGATGGATACTAGAGTTCATGCAAGGTAGGTGGTAGCTGGGCTGGGTAGATGTCCAGCATTTAGCTACAGTAAAAACCGGCTCACATCAAAGTGTAACAGAGAGATTATATTTGTATCCAAGGCAGTGATGGCGCAACCATACAGTAATAAAATGTCAATTTGCACTGGAATTCTTAAGGAAACGAGGTGGGGGAAAGGTAAAAGGAGAAGTAACAGGAAAGGGCAAACAGGAGAAATGGCAGCTACCAGAAAAGCAGAATGCAACCAGCTTTTGTCAGCATGCTGCCAACCATTCTAAGAGCATACACAGAGGAGCTAAAAACCACTAGTCATCTTCTTGACAACAAGAACAACAGGAGAAAATAGTCTTCATGCCATTAGAAGATGTGCAAGCTGTGAATAAAATTGTAACAGAAATTCACCTGGGGCTATCAACATTTTATTCCAGAAGGGAATATTAAAATAACTACAAAAAAAAAAAAAAAAAACCCCAAACAAAAAAAACCCAACAACAATCCACAAATAAACAATTAGATAAGAATGCAGCTGCATTCTGAAATTTGTCTGTGGTGTCTGAAAGTGTAAGTGTAAAGGGAGAGAGGAGATGCATGACTAGAGAGATCAGATAAAAGCAGTGCAAAGAAATTTAGATACACAAGCAAAGATCATTTTGATCTGGAATACCTTTTTTTTCTTTTTTTTTTACTATTAGTGAATATAAGTGAAT